TACTTCCTCATTTTCATTGCATTTTAGGTTTACTTACCTTGCTGAATGGAGATTCACAATTTCCACATATCGTTATGAGAAAATTCGCCGTTGCACAAGCATTTCTTTATTATTTGGAAAATTATAGAAAAGAACCCAACAGTATAGCCTCTTTTCAGTGAACAACTAGAAATCTTAAGTTATTGTTCTACTTTGTACATTGCCGATTCTTTGTACACCTGAACGTGTGCAACGCCGTTTCACTAACCTGCATTTAGAAAACAAATAGTTCATTATCAGGTCATTTGAGTTTCTTTTCATTATTCAAATCTACCTTCCATTTCCTCGGAAGCTAGCCAGCCGAACTATATTTCAGTAATGAAGTTTTAGTAGTTTCCTCGGAAGTTAGCCAGCTGAACTATTTTTCAGTATTGGAGTTTTATTACTTTCTATTCATGAGATAATGTTCCCTTGCTATCGGTAACACCAATTCAGAATTTCAAATTAAGTATCTCTTTTTTTTATTTCCTAAGTTTATTCTATCTTAATTTCAACCTGTGATTTTTAATCTTTAACTTCGTGGTGTTGATTAGAATTCGCTGTGTTAATTAAGTACTTTCCGCTCGTATTGTATGCTAGAAGTTGCATTACCATATTGTAAACACTTGACGTGTAAAGGTTGATATATAAGCAAGTACGTTTGTAAAGCTTTTTTGGTTACATCGATTAGGATTAGGATCACGATTACTCCGCCGAGTATGTCAATTTCACCCTCGACGTTATAGTGTGCAGAATAAGCTACTGTTGGACCAAATTATGTCTCTTCCTTGACGTCCGTAGTGAAGACCATTGAAGTAGATCCTCGTGTACCAGGAAATCGTGACGAATTTCCGTTCCCGCAGGCAAGCACTGCTCTCCAAGAGTTAGATTCCTCCAGTTGTCAATTGAAGTGTCCGTTCAGTCCGAAATTTACGGTGTTGCAGGAAAAACCTATCGTCACAATACGCTCTGGGCCATCTGTTCCAATCAAAGGGCCCTGTGAGCCTGCTCATGGATAAATGTTTCGTTTTGCCTCTGTTTCAAAACGAATTTTTTCATATGAAAATGAGTTTGATTGGCGTGAAAATGAACCTGTAGGCGGAAGTCATATGAATGGTTTCGCACTTAGACTCGTTTTGACATAGAGGCAAAAGGCAACTTGGAAATGGCCTATTGGATGAATACAGAAAAGACAGTTGAATAAAAAGAGAAGAGGAATTAATCATTGTAGAGTTCTTCTTGGTACCGCAGTGAAAAACAGGAAAATAAACATCTTTTGGTCAACTGTGATGCATAGGTTCTGATGTCCAAATATGGTTGCTTGTTGACACTTTTCAGGTGGCTGAATTCGTTCTCTGGTAAAATCATTTGATAATAAATAATTATTTATTACATATTTGAAGTAGATTTCAACAGAGTGCAACAACAAAAATCAAGATGAACACCGCTTTTATTAGGAATATTTTCTTTCTTATCAAGTCCACTGAAATACTGACTACTATAAAGTAGCAAATAAAAGCTAAGAGGAGACATTGTAGCCAAAAGTCTCCTATACATGCAGATCATGCATTTTTTTGTTGGGTTATAAATAACATAATCTTTACAGTAGCAGGGCACACATGTAGTAGAAGTACAGCATGATAACAACCATTTCAAGAATTGAATGAAAATTCAGCAAGTATAAGCTGGAACAGTTAGGATAGCTTATACTTCAAATAAACATTGCAAGACTTGTATTTAATTAATAGAGACAGATAAACACATTTTTGCGTTCCTTTATGATGGGGTCTAGTAGTTTCATTTAATTGTAGTCCTAATATAAGGTCTGATGTTACTCTACATGTACAGATATGAAGCTGCTAAGTTTAAGTTGAAGTTGTATTTCTGTATTCCACTGTAAAGCTTAAGGTTCATTTCTGAGTTGAGTTTTGACAAATGTAGTGAGTCCAGGTGGACTTCACTTGTTGACATTCTTAACTTTAAGAACTGACCTACATGGATCAAGTTCCAAAGTGTTTCCAACTCTGTAATTATATGTGCAGTCTGGAGAGCCATTTTGTATGTTTGTAACCAATGTGTTTTGCAAAGAATGAGTTTCAACAGCTCAAGTGGCAGCTAACACAAGTGTTGAAGGCATCTACTTTTCTTTGTAAGCAAGGGTGTTCCACATCCATCTGTAATTTTCATATTAATTCCATGATGTCTTAAGGGTGACTTTTGTTGTTAAAGCCAGTTTCCTTGAAGTCTTTCAATATTATTTTTGGCAGCTGGTAAACACATATAGCATTAGTAATGGTGTTGTTAATATTAACATCTGTTTACTGTCACTTGCACATCATACTGTATTGTTACTGCAGTGTTCATCTGAGTTATTTCCACATGTACAATAGTACAAATTGCTTCACCTGCAATACACAATAAAGACAATAGTTACATATTTTCAAAGGGTATAGAAGTGAATGCAGAAAAATTATACAATGTTTATCTTTAATTTGCTGCCCTTTCCCCTTCCCCTCCCCCCTCCCCAAGCCCAATAAAAATAGGCTACTTACCTAAATCATGTGTCGAAGTGGTATTTCTTGCTTTACTGGAAAGGGTTTAAGACAGAAAATGGCAGTTATAAATGGCATGCTTTCCCTCAAGAAACATTGGAGCTAAAATTATTTCTTTAACCTGAAAAATTTACTCTGATGTACAGCATCTGCAAATTCTGGTAGAGTTACATGTAATTTTGAATCTCTATGATGACTAGAAACATGAAAATCACAGGAAATTCAAACCATTCTTTGTTTCTGCCAATAAATGTTCTGACTGTTTTCTATATGTGATTCACATAATTGCTTGATACATTTAGATATTTATTTGGTATGTAAAGTTTCATATTCACCTAAATTAAATATGTAATGATCTTGAAGATGCACATAGTTAACAAATATTCAAACAGCTTTCATGGAAATATAAATAGGCTTATGATTACTGTAGTAAGTCTCCAGGGTACCTGCTGATTGTACACATTGTGGCACATTGGTATAAACATGATCTATTTGTGTACGGTAGTCAGTAGTATACTGGTCAATCAACTGAGTGTATCCTTTGTCTGTTATAATGTATTTTGTTAGAGCCTTTTGTTCTGTATTTGTCTACATTAGATCAATATTGAAATCCCCAAGCAGCACAGTTGGAATTGTAGGTTCTATTAATGCTGAGTTGTGAAGATGAGTAAGAGCATCAATTAACTGCGAAATTGTAACTTTAGTTTTGGAGCGATAGATACCAATGACATGTATATTTGGCATTGGTTGGCTTAAAACCATAACAGTAATTTCCAAATTACTAAAGTTACATCTGTATGGAATTTTAGAACAATTCAAATCTTTTTTAATATACACAGGAGTTCCATAGGAAGTTCTTATGTTAGACTGACTAAAGTCATCTCTGTAAAGCATAAATTCAGGAAGCTGATATGTATCATCTCTATCTAACAAGTAAAGTTTTGATTCAACAAAAATGTTGACATCAGCATTTTGAATGTTGTAATCACTGCGTACATCATCTATGTGGAGGTGGAGGGATCTAGCATTCTGAAACAAGATTGTTTTTGTTTGGGGGGAATTATCAGTCTGTAACACTGCTAAAGGCACAAGACTTGCTTGTGTTCTTAGTCTTTTCATTTCACTTTTAACTTTCTCACTAACCTTTATTTTGTTTTCATTCAAATTAAGAATATGCAGAGCAGAGCTGTTTCGTACACGGCTCAAGCCAACATAATGCATGTGCTCTCGTGTGGATGCTGGAAAATCAACAACTGCCTCATTTAATGTGTCGCCCTGACAACGGTGAATGGTCTTGGCAGCAGCAGCGGGTCTAAGCGGAAATTGGCGCCGGGGAATTTGGAATTGACTTTTTTTATTGACTCGAAATTGTTTTCTTACTTCTAATACTGGTGTCCAATTTCTATCTATAGTTGCCTTGTACAAATGTGCATTTTCTCTGCGCTGGTTTCTGCCTATGTCAGGATGCGGAAAGGAGACCCAAATAATAGTTGGTCCGGTGCAATTTTGAACTCTGTAGTCTATGTTTTCTATGACACACTCTGCACCATTGGTGAGTCCGTCAGTCACATCAATATTAGTTGTCAAGTCATATTTTGCTGCAGTTGCTACCGACACTAGCGAATATAAACCCATTGTCTTTGTTGGATCATCTGGGATTTTGTTTTTCATTTGTTTCTTGAGATCATCAGAAATGTCCCCAACTATAATGTCCAAAGCCTTAATCTGCGATTTCTCAGTTTTAGAGAGGATATATTGTTGTGAGCATCTACTGGTGTATTTGTAGTAAATAAATGTGTCGTGTTCATAGGGTAATTATCTTGTTGGGGCCTTACAGTCAGAAGCCGTTGTTTTAGAATGGCTATATCATCTTCAGGCTGATTTCCTTCTCTCAAACGACTGAGTAGCTGAGCAAATTCTTTGTCATCTTTTTGTCTCATTATTTCTGTCAATTCAAAGAGGGTGAAGTACTCTGTCCAAATGTTAGTTGCAAATTCATTATAGCCAGATTGAGAATTTTCAAAGATCCACTTATCAAAAACTGGCTTAAGCTGGAAAAGACCTCCAACAGTTACTAAGCTTATTCCACTAAATGGTTCACTAGTTCCCATAATTTGTTGTAACCTTAAGTTCAAAAAGTTGAATATGCCACTTCCAACCATAGAAATATCATTGATGAAGATCACCATAAGTTTGTTTAGTTTTGCTCTGATGATATTCAGTCTGTCACTGTCCAGTGCACAATACTCAAATCCTCTATTGGCAAGTATCTTAAAAGCACCATGTAGTGTATTGCCTTTTATATTGAATGCTGCTTTACCAGTAGGGGCAGTCTTGACAACTTTCACATCATCTGGATTTTCCCCGGCAATACTATTTAGAAATCTGATCAGAACTTCATACAATGCATTTGTAACAGTACTTTTGCCAACTCCAGCACCTCCACTTAAGAATAATCTTAGAGCGTCATCTTTTGTTTTAATTGAATGTAAGACGTGATTAAAAAAAAAAAAATAGTCTTTGTTTTTCATTCAAAGATCGAACAAGTCTACGCTTTACAATAAGTTCTTCCTGATCATTACTTCTGGGGAAAATTCCAATATCATCAAACAAATCATATTGGTTATGCTGCTTGTTTTGCTAGGGTCAAAGCAACCAAACTATTCACTAGGCTTGTCTTTAACAGCACAGTCCTGCTGATTGACATGCTCTGCATTTGGAGCAGCATTGTCAAAGTTGTCACATTCAGCATTATTCATATCTTCCATTGCTTTATCTAGTATTTCTGAATGGCATTCATACTGATGCCTATTACTGATACCTTCATCCTTAACCTGTTCAAATCTCTCTTGGAATGTTCGATAGTCTTTTATCAAATCTTTGCTTTCCTTCCGCCATGGTGTATCAAGCATAAAATGCTCTCTATAATGTTTTTCTGGGTCCTTATCTTTATGGTACCTAACTTATCGGATAATTTTAGCCTTCTTTCGTTTTACTAGTTTCATGCCTCCTTTCAGTTTGTATTCATTTAGTTCATTTTCTTGGTCAGTACTATTAGTATCATTTGGGTCATCATCATTGTTTTCCTCAAAATTAGTCTCTGGAAGAAAATCACCAGACGCTGTGAATGATGACTCACTGGAATTTGTGACATCTTGTGCCTCTGTAACACACTCAAACCATGCAACAAAGTCAGCAAGGCAATTTTTTTCTGATTGTTTTGGTCTCCGTTGATACCGCTTTATTATGTTATCAGATTCTATGTCATGTGAACTATCAGGTAACTCTTTCAGCTTTTCCAGTTTTTTTTTATTAAGAATGTTCTTTCATCTGGAGGTGAGGTGCTTATAACTGAACATCACGAGATGAACGTCTTAGAGGTATTTGTAATACAAG